CCCAGCAGCAGCAGGACCAGCCCCAGCCGCAGCCGCCGTCCCAGCAGCACCCGCCGCAGCCGTGGGCTCGTCTCCCGCCTGGTTGGCCCGGCACCTCCGGAGGCGGTGGCCGTGGTGGCGGCCCGCGCAGCTTGGCGTCTACCAGCGGCTCCAGTGCTGTGACCTGCCAGTACCAGCTTCAGACCGGGCCTCTCCGCGGCACTCTGTGCCGCCGCCCGCACCCGACCGCCCACTGTTTCCGCCGCTTCGACGATCTTTTTCGTCGTCGCTTTGGCCCGGCCCCGGACCTCCCTGACTGGCACAGCCTGCTCCGCCAGGGCGTGCCGATCTTTGAGTTAGACATGGATCAGATAGGTGCTGCTTTGCATGCTTTGTATGCTGACGCTTCTAGTGTTGATGGATCTTACTACCATGTGTACTCTAGTTTAGGTGTTTCACCCTTGTGTAGCTTAGCTTCCCCTGCTGCGACAGGCGTAGGACTGCCTAGGTTGCCTAGTCTAGTCGCTGCACCGGCTCCGTCCGCGGCCTCCGCCACTGCGTCGCTGTCCTTCACTCTCGACTCTGGTGCTTCTGCCTGCTTCTTCAGCGACCGTTCCACGCTCACGCCGCTTGCTGCACCTGCTGTTGTCTCTCTCGCTGACCCCTCTGCGGGTCCGGTCGTCGCGCGCAGTACTACGTCCCTTCCCTGTCCGGCAGTTCCCTCGGGCTCCCTTACTGGCCTCCACGTTCCCTCGTTCTCCAGGAACCTGGTTGGTGTCGGCTGTCTCCAGGACCTCGGCGTCACCACCACGTTCCCCGGGCACGAGCGGTTCGCTGTCTGTTCTGAGGCTGTCTCAGGTTCCCCCCTTGCGACGTTCCCCCGGGACCCGGTGTCCGGTCTGTTTACCCTACACACCGCTTCCCCCCCGGTTGGTGCGTCCTCCCAGGTCGCTGCAGCTTGCTCGTGTCGGTCCCTCACTCACCCGTCCCTTCTCTGGCACCACCGCTTAGGTCACCCTGCTCTCCCGCGTCTGCGTCACATGTCCCAGCACGGTCTTGTCTTAGGTCTCCCCGCGTCGCTCCCTGCCCTTCCTCCCTCGACTGCGCCACCGTGCACGCCTTGCGTCGAGGGTCGGCTCCGCCGTGCTCCTCACTCCTCCTCGCTGCGTCCTGCTACTGCCCCCCTTCAGACCCTGCACTTGGACGTTTGGGGCCCTGCCCCCGTCCCCGGACCGCGCGGTGAGCGCTACTTCCTTGTGCTCGTTGACGACTACACGCACTACACCACGGTGTTTCCCCTGGAGCGGAAGGCCGACGTGCCCGACGTTCTTCTCCCGTGGGTTGTAGCTGCGCGTCTCCACCGCGGTCTCCCCGTGTTGTGTCTCCACTCCGACCGTGGCGGCGAGTTCGCCTCTGGTCGGCTTGGACAGTTCTGTCGTGCGGAGGGCATCACCCAGTCGTACACCTTGCCGGACTCGCCACAGCAGAATGGGGTTGCTGAGCGCCGCATCGGCTTGGTCATGGAGGTCGCCCGTACCTCCATGATCCATGCCGATGCCCCCCATTTTCTGTGGCCGTTCGCTGTTCGCTACGCGGCTCACCAGCTTAACCTGTGGCCACGCTCCCAGCGGCCGCAGGTTTCGCCGACCCTCCTTTGGACCGGGTCCCCCGGTGACGCGTCTGCGTTCCACGTCTGGGGCTGCCTTGCTCACGTTCGTGCCTCTGGCACGGACAAGCTCACTGCCCGCACTGTCCCCTGTGTCTTCCTCGGTTTCCCCCTGGACTCGTCCGACTGGCTTTTCTACCACCCGCCGTCTCACCGCTTCCTCCACTCTCGTGACGTCACCTTTGACGAGTCCGTCTCCTTCTACCGCCGCTTCCCTCACCGAGGTCTCCCAGTTGCCCCCCCCCTTTTCCTTGCTCCCTCTCCCCCGGTAGCCCCTGCCCCTCTCCCGCCTCGTCCTGCCCCGTCTGGTGTCTCCCACGTCACTCCCCTCCCGTCGGTTGTCCCCGTTGAGGAGTCTGCTGACTCTGGTGGTACCCCCGGTCCGTCCTTGCCGCGTCCCCCTTCCCCAGTGCCTCCGCCCCCACTGTCGCAGTCGCCGACCCCGCTGCCGCCGCCGTCGCCGTCGCCGCCGCAGCCGTCGCCGCTGTCGCCGCCACTGCCGCCGCTGCTCTCGGCCCCTGGGGGTGCTGGTGTGGAGGAGGGTGTTCGTCCTGCGGCTTCTGGGGGTGCCGCTGGTGTTGGAGGGGGTTCTCGCTCTTGGGGTGTTGGTTCTGGGGGTGCTGCTGTTGAGTGTTCTGCCGACGGTCGTTCTGCCTCTGCTGGTCCGAGAGTTCCGGCCCAGCCGTCGTCGCCGCCACAGCAGCCGTCGCCGCCGGTTTCCGCTCTCCGCCTGCTCGGCCTTCCCTCCCCGGACCGCGCGCCGGTGTCTCCCCCACCGCCTCCTGACCTCCCTGTCTACGGTCCTGTGTTCCCGCCGCCAGACTCGTCTCCGGCCCGTCTTCCTCCTCGTTCCCCTCCTGTGTCTCCTCCGCTGTCCCCTGACCCTACCCCTCCGTCTCACGTTTGGGCTCGCCGTCCCTCCTGTGCCCGTCCCGTCTCTCCTGTCCTGCCCACCCACCCTATGTTGCTCCGTTCCCACTCGTCTCGTCCTCCCCTCCTCCCGTCCCCTCCTCCCTCGTCCCTTGCTGTTGCACCTCCTCCGTTCTCTGACTACCTCCGTGCTGCTCGTCCCCTTGTCCCTCGGGTCCTTGCCTCTCTTGTTACCGACCCTGCTGTTCCTGTCTCGCGCCTTGACGCGCTTGTCGCTGCTGTCGCTGACTTCGCTTCTACCCGCCGCCTTGACTACGCTACCGCTCTGGTCTCTGACCCTGCCCGTCCTCTGTCCGTCGGGGGTGCTCCTGCCCTTGGCAGTGACGTCCTAGAGGACAGGCAGTACGAGCTGGCTTTCCTTTCCGAGGCTGCTCCCCATCTCTGCTCCATGCTGTTAGTCCCTGAGGGTGACCCAGACGCCTTCGACATCCCGACCCCTCGCACCTACGCTGAGGCCACCTCGGGACCTTGGGCCTCTCAGTGGATAGCTGCCATGGAGCAGGAGATGGCATCTTGGAGATCCACCGGCACTTACGTCGACGCAGTTCCCCCGCCTGGGGTGAACGTAGTCGATGGTCGGTGGCTCTTCAAGGTGAAGCGCCCCCCTGGAGAGCCGCCTGTCTTCAAGGCGCGCTACGTGGCCAGAGGTTTCAGTCAGCGCGAGGGGGTTGACTTCTTCCAGACCTTCGCCCCGACCCCGAAGATGACCACTCTTCGGGCGCTGCTACACGTAGCAGCACAGCGTGACTACGAGCTTCACTCTCTCGACTTCTCTACTGCCTTTCTTCAGGGCAGCCTACACGAGCAGGTCTACCTGCGCCGACCACAGGGCTTCACTGGTACCTTCCCTCCTGGGACCCAGTGGCTTCTCAGGCGCCCGGTCTACGGCCTGCGTCAGGCTCCCCGCGAGTGGCACGACACGCTACGTGCCACGTTAGCAGACCTGCAGTTCTTTCCGTCCTCTGCTGACCCTTCACTGTTTGTGCGTTCCGGCCAGACTCCGTTCTACATCCTTGTCTACGTAGACGACCTGGTCTTCGCTACTCCTGACAGGGACGCACTGGCCTCTGTGAAGGCTGAGCTGCTGAAGAGACACACCTGCACTGACCTTGGAGAGCTGCGTCGCTATCTTGGCCTGCAGATCTCTAGGGACAGAGCAGCACGCACCATCACTCTGACCCAGTCACACTTGGTGCGTCAGGTCCTTCAGAGGTTCGGTCTTCAGTTCTCCTCCGCACAGCCCACACCTCTACCCGTAGACCATGGGCTCTCTGCTCCCGTTCCTGAGGAGCCAGTAGAGCCCAGTGGCCCCTACGCAGAGCTGGTGGGTTGCCTCATGTACCTGATGACTTGCACTCGCCCAGATCTCGCATACCCTCTCAGCATCCTGGCTCGCTTTGTGGCTACAGGCAGACACCGACCTCAGCACTGGTCTGCCGCTAAGAGGGTTTTGCGTTATCTTGCTAGTACATCAGGCATGGGGTTAGTGCTAGGAGGACGCAGGCCAGTGGTCCTTACTGGGCACACAGACGCTTCTTGGGCAGACGACGCTGAGACGCTCAGGTCGTCGCAGGGCTACTGTTTCAGCCTTGGTTCGGGTGCTATCTCTTGGAGATCCACTCGCTCGTCGTCTGTGGCTCAGTCTAGCTGTGAGGCTGAGATCTACGCTGGTGCCATGGCGGCACAGGAGCTCCGCTGGCTGACCTTCTTGCTCACAGACTTAGGTGAGCGGCCTAGCTCTGCCCCGGTCCTGTACGCTGACAACAGGGCCATGATACTCCTGTGTCAGGAGCCTCGGCTTGAGGGCAGAGCGAAGCATATCCAGCTGCGGTACTTCCTCCTGCGCGAGCTACAGCAGCGCCGCCAGGCCCGCGTAGTTCACTTGGCCTCAGGTGCCAACACAGCTGATATCTTTACTAAGGCGCTTGCGCCTAAAGATCATCAGCGGCACTGTGTACAGCTTGGTCTTGTTCCTATAGCTGCTCCCCTGTTAGGATCCTGATTGTGTACTCTGTATTATATATGCTTGTCAGACTGGCCTTGTGGCCTTACCTCCAGTGGCTGGACTAGTAGTGCCACCCTGGCTTGCTTCAGTTTTGGTTGTATTCTTGCTGACTGGTCTCCAGACCCCTGCCTCAGTGGTTGGACTAGTAGTGCCGCCCTGAGCTGTTTGCTTCTTGTTTAGTTTCACCCCTTGTCTAGCCTAGGGGGTGTGTCAACTTATACATATTATCTATGTAGAAGTTATAGGCTAGACTGAGGTATGCTTCTAGTGAGTACAACCAACTAGTATTTGTTCTAGGTTTCCACCTCTAGTAATCATTCGTTTCTACGTTAACAGTGTCAAACATATTTGTATATGTTACTGTAGAGTAGATAGGGGCATGCCTTAGAGAGTACAACACATTAGGTCAAACTATCATGTACCCTTCATCCTAGTTCATTCTGCTACTCTGAGAACTATATCCGAGAGAATACGGAACATACACCTAGATTCCTGTAGTACTGTGAATTAGTGTTATCACTATGTTAGCAAGCTACATCTACAGGGACCAAATGCACCAGCCCTCTCCGGCTTTGCGCCGTCTAACAGCAGGGAATGATACTGCCTAAAGCCGAAAGAGCTGCAATGATAAGGAACCAGAGAAAATGGGCGGGTTGGAAGCATACAATAGCAGGAAGCAGGGACGAATGATAGGGGGCAGATGTGTGTGTGTACGTGAGTGAGGGTGGACGGGGGGGGGGAAGGGGAGCGACGAGGGGGAAGTGGGTCAGCTTCCAAGGGTGCAGCCTCAGCAATCTGCCAGAATATGCAGCACGCGGTCAGCGCTGCTAGTTGACCTTGTCGCGGCCCCTCCCTCTGCCCTTGCTGTGCGGCGCCTGCATGCTGTACTCGCCCGTGTCACCATCCACGTGCAGCGACCCACTGGCGAGGCGCTGCACGGCGGCCTGCAGGCTGGGCTTGCACAGCGCCTCCAGCTCCTCCCACAGCCGCAGGAACTCCTCGTGCGTGCGCGCCGCGCGCTCAAACTCCTCCTGCCGGATGCGGTTCATCTTCTTGCGCGTCGTGCCGCCCGGGGTCGACCCGCCCGTGGTGAGGCGCTGCGTGGACTCCACGTGGCGGCGCCAGGCGTCGCGGCACTCGTCGGCCTTGCGGTGCACCACGGTGCACGCCTCGTCCATGAGCTCGCTGCCGTCTTCCACCGCCATCATTGCCCCCTTCCACCGCGCCACCGCTGCCGTGCGCCGAGCCTTCTCCTCAGCCACGGCGCGCCGGGCCGCCTCCAGGCGCTCCAGCGCAGAGGCAACGCGAGCTTCCGCGACGTCGACGGCGTGGCGCTCCCTGTCCGCCTGCACCTCGAGCTGCCGCGCACCCGCTGAGAAGCGCAGCAGCGCCTCGTGCTCCAGCCGACTCACCTCGTCCATCTCATCTGCGCCCTCCGCTGGCCCACCCCCTCCGTGCCGCTCCCCACCCTCCTCTGCGCTGCTAGGAGTGTAGCCCGTGGGGGAGAGCCGAGAGGGTCCGTGGAGGGAACTGCTGTGCTGAGCCTGCTGCTGCTGCTGCTGCTGCTGCTGCGGAGGGTGCGGAGGGTGGTGGTGGTTGTGGTGGCGGCGGTGAGCCTTGCCTTGAGGGGGGCTTGCCTGGGAGGAGGAAGCGCTGGAGTGGCACGGGCTGCCCTGGGACGAGGGGCTGGCATGGTAGGGGCTGGACAACGGGCGGCCATATGGGCTGGGCTGGGACGAGGGGCTGGCGCGGGTGAGGGAGTGCAGGGCGAGGTCAGAGGAGCCAAGGGGGGCACGGGGGATGGCGACAGTGAGCGAGGAGAAGGACGGCGACGCTGCATGGTGCATGGCGCGCGGCGAGGACAGCGCGGGTGCGGATGGCGGTGGAGGCGGTGCACGTGCATGTGCGCCACATGGAGTGCCCTCGCTCTCGCCCTGATGCGCGCTGCCAGCGCCGCCCGCAGTGTCTGGAGACCTCCCTGCACCCTCGCGTGTGGTGGGCAAGGCCTCTCTCTTCTTGAAGCGGCGCAGCAGCAGTGTGGCACTGGGCTCCGGATCCACCTGCCCTCTACCCAACCCCTTCATGCCGCCCCCTGACGCCACCGCTGCTGACAGCAGCGCCTCCGCCTCATCCCCCTCCCTGGACCCCTCCTCTGCCCCCCCACCACTCCCTTGCCAGTGCGCATGTTGCGACCCCCTCTCTCTGCCCTTCTTCCACTTCCTCGCCTGCTCCCCTGCTGCAGATGGTGCTGTCGCTCCTATGCCCTCCCACACCCCTGCTGCTCCCCTCGAATCGAAGAAACGTGCCGCTGCATCATCCATCTCTGCTGCCAGTGACCCCTCCTCTCCCTCCTCCGCTCCCGCTTCTGCCTCCCCTTCCTCCTCCATTCCCTCCTCCTCCACCTCCTCCTCTTCTTCCTCCTCCACCTCCTCCTCTTCTTCCTCCTCCACCTCCTCCTCTTCTTCCTCTTCCACCTCCTCTTCCTCCCCCTCCACTTCCCCCTCTTCCTCCTCCACTTCCTCCTCCTCCCCATACTCCTCCACTCCCTCATATTCCTCCTGCTCATATTCTTCCTCCTGTTCATTCTCCCCTTCCTCCATCTCCCCCCCCCCTCCACCTCCTCCTCTTCCTCCCCACCCTCCTCTTCTTCCTCAATGTCACCACCATTCACCAACCGACCCTTCCCGTACTTCTCTTCAAAGTTGCTCACATCCCCTCTATTCCACGTGCTCATCTCTCCGCCTTCCTCACCCCCCTCCCTCCCTTCCCACTCCCCCCCTCCCCCACGCCAACCCCCCCCTCCATCTCCCTTCCCCCCAGCACCACGCGCTCCCTGCGCTCCCTGCCTCGCATCCTGGATGCCCCTCGCCCCCTGCCGCGCCTCTCGCCCTCGTCGTCGCCTGCCGCCAGCCCCATGGCGCCCTGCGACCCCGGGCTGCGCACCTGCACCTCCACCGCCTCGCCCGCCTCGCCCTCCCCTCGCAGGAACGCCAGGGGCCGTAGGCGCCGGGCGGACGCGCCCAGGTTGGGCGTCATGGGCTGCCTGTGCCAGGCGCGCAGGCCGCGGGGGGGGACGGTCAGGGAGGACGACGCCTGCATGCTGCCACCTGCTGTGGGCCCGCTGCTGCTGCCGCTGGCAGGGGAAGGTGCTGGTAGAGCGGCGGAGGTGGGGGGGGCAGTGGGCGAATCAGGCATGCCCTGCCGGCCTGCAGAGGGGGTAGTGGCAGCGGCAGAGGTAGGGGCGTCCCCAGCGGGACTACTGGCAGCAGGGCTGGCAGCGGCATAGAGGTCCTGAGGGCTGTCGGGGTGGGGGCGATGGAGCGCACGCATAGGCACGGGGTTGGGTGCATGTGAGGGGGACATGGGCGGAGCAAGGGGGTCTTCCAGCGCAGTCGCATGTGGCACGCCAGACAGAGTGATGGAGGTGGGCGACGAGGCGTCAAGCTGAGCTTGGCTGTCCGTGCTCCCTTCCCCGTCATCCCCGTTGCCATGTGTGCCAGCAGCAGCAGTGCTGGGCGGCATGGCAGCACTGTGCTGGTTGTCACGGGCGTCACTGGCAGCGTGCAGGGAGGCGCCCACGGCAGCATGGGACACCATGGATCGGAAGCTGGGGGCATCAGCGGGGGATGAGCCCAGCAGGGGTGACGGGGTCGCGGTGGCGGCAGGTTCAGGGGGGGAGGTGGCATGGGCGGCATGCGGCTCATCCGCGCCATCTGCTGGAGTGGACTGGGTCGGGGCAGAGGCCGCTGCTTGGTCCGGTGCAGGTCCAGGGGTCGCAGTGAGAGGTGGTGCAGTGGCAGCAGTGGCAGCAGTGGCAGCAGTGGCAGCAGCGGCAGTGGTGATAGCAGTGCCGTGGTCCGTGTGGGAGAGAGGCCTCGACCCTCTACTGGCACTCCTGGGCAAACATGTGCCGCTGCCATCCCTGTCCCTTGCGCCACCATTATCACCACCACCGCCACATCCATCACTGGCAACACTGGCACCCGCACCAGCGCCAGCACTGGCGGCATCAGCAGCAGTGGCGCTGGCATCAGCAGCAGCGGTGTGGGGGGCCGCAGCGGTGCCTTGCAGCATGAGTTTCTTGAGCTTGGCCTTCTCCTCTATCATGCGCACCTCCTGCCGCAGCTTCTCCAGCTCCGCCCTGTGCTTCCCACTCAGCGTCCCCTTCTTGCCCCCCGCCCTGCTGCGACTGCCACCCCACGTGCCCCCGTACGCAAACCCTTCCTTGCTGCTGCCCCTGCTGCTCCTCCCCGCCTCGCCACGCCCCACCCCACCTCCTTCCTCCTCTCCTACGCCCACCCCACTCTCCCCTTCTCGACCTCCTCTACCCCTTCTCCCCCCCCTTTCCCTCCCGCTCTCGCCCTCCACCCGTCCGTTGCCACTGCCCGCGCCCCCATCTTCCGCCACCTCTCCCCGTCTCCCCCCCCCTCGTCCCACCCGTCCCCCACCCCGCGGGAGAAGCCTCTGCTGCGGGAGCGGCGCGAGCGGGTGCCGCCGGGAGTGGCGGGGGTGGCGGGGGTGGGGGGGACCCAGGGGCCGTGCGAGAGGCAGATGGCGATGAGGTCGTCGCGCGGGGTGGCGGGGGGGAGGGGCGCGTCTGACAGCACGCCTGCTAGCACCTGATGGGGTGGCGGGGGGTGGCGGCGGGGAGCAGAGGAGAGAGGGAAAGGGGCAAGGCGTGAGATGTGCGTGAGAAGCAGCAAGGTGTAGAGGGCAGCGGCGCTGATGATGAGAGGAGCCACACGAGAAGGAGACGGAGAGACACGGCACGCGCCATGAACATGTGTCAGACCACTGTGCTGAACACGCCAACCATGCTGCTCGCCCCCACCCGACCTCACCGCCACATCTCCACAGCAGCCCACCTACCCAGCACACACACCTCTCTCTCACCCCCGTCACCCCAACCCTCCAGCAGCCCTGCCGAGCACAGCAGCCCAGCACCCCCCCGGGAGTCACCTGCAGCGCGCCGCTGTTGAGGCGCACGACGTCGCTGGCATCCACGGCGTCGCGCTGCGACATCACCATGCCGCGCATGCGCGCCAGCTCGCCGCCCTCGCCTCCCCCCCCCCCGCGCAGCCCCTCCACGGTGGCGAGGAAGCGCGCGTGCATGGGCGTGCGCGGCGCCAGCGAGTCCCACTGCGCGGCGCGCTGCAGGAACGCGGCGAGCAGCTCCTTGTCGCGCTGCAGGAAGCTCGAGCTCATGCGCCGGTACATCTCCGATGCCGCCCACCCACTCGCCGCGCCAACGCCGCTGCTGCTGCCCACTGCCCCACTGCCGGCGTCACTCGCACGAGCACCACCTGTGGACTCTGCCGCCCCGCCTTGGTGGTCGCCCTCCCCAGCTCTGGGTCTCAGTGCAGGCGGGGCGGGCCAAGGCATTGGCACAGCATCTCTACCCCGGCCACCCGTCCCAGGCCCCATGCCATCCCCTGCAACATGCACTCCCTCCCTCCGCCCTGCACTCGCCTCTGCGTGCTCTCCCCCATCCCCCCCCCTCGCCTCGCCTCCTGCAACTGCCCCGTCCATGGCGTCGCAGCCCGTCATACCCGCGGCCGCACTCCCCTGCACACGCTCCACCGCCACGCCCTGCCCCGCCTCCGATGGCCCCAACGCCTGCTCTCCCTCACGCACCTTCCCCGCTTGCCTTCCCCCCAACCCCTCTTCCCCGTCCTCCTCCCTGCCCGCGTCCCCTGTGCCCTCTAAAGCGCCCTCATTTATCCCCACCCCAGCGTCCTCCCCATATCCCCCCTGTGCCGCGCGAGAACCTGCTGCCAGGGCCACTGCTCTCAACGCCCCATCCGCGCTCCTGCCATCGCGCTCCCCGCCCTCCTCCCCGCCCTCCTCCCCACCCTCCTCCCCGCCCTCGCCCTCCCTAACCACCCCGTTCACCTGCCGCTCCCCCTCCCCACCCCGCCCCTCTTCTCGCCCAACCGCATCTCCTCCCGCCCCAAGCCCTTCCACTCCCTCTCCCCCCTCCCCCCCTCCTCCCCCTCCGCCCACTCCTCCCCGTTGCCCTCCCCGTCCCCCTCGTCCCCCCCCGCGTGCCAGGCGGGTGCGGCGACGATGAGTTCGAGCAGCTGCTGGCGGCGGAGGCGCCAGAGCCCGTCGTGCTGCGAGAACAGCAGCGCCAGCAGCTGCAGCGTCTCGCGCTTCTGGCTCTTCAGCTCCGCCTCCGACAGCCCGTGCGCGCGCACCACCGCGCGCAACGCCTGCACGCGCGCGGAGGACAGGGCACGCGGGGCGGGCGGAATCGTGTGAGAGAGGGGGATGTGGGTTGCGTGGGTTTGGGAGAACCGGATGAGAGAAGCTGAAAGAGCAATTTGCACGGGAGAACAGGGTGAGGGGAGACGGGAAGAGGGAGAGGGGAGGGGGAAGGGGAAGAGGGAGAGGGGAGGGGGAAGGGGAAGAGGGAGAGGGGAGGGGGAAGGGGAAGAGGGAGAGGGGAGGGGGAAGGGGAAGAGGGAGAGGGGAGGGGGGTCATAAGAGGCCGGGGAACAGGGTGTGATGGCATGCGTGCTGCGCTCTCACCCTGAGCACGCGCGGGTGCGCGCCGCTCCTGACGTTCTGCATGTAGTCGAACACGTAGAAGCGCGTGGACGGGCTGGCCTCCAGCGCCACCCACGCGTCCCTGTGCGCCAGGAACTCGCGCATCAGCCGCACGTCCTCCGCCGCGAACCCCACCTGCCGCGACAGCCGCCACCGCTTCCACCCGCTCCCTGCTGCTCCGCCCCCCGCACCCGCCTCCCCTCCCCCGTTCTGCTCCCCTCCGCCGTCTTCCGCCTCCCCTTTTCCCCCTCCTGCGCCTCCCCCCCCGGTGGTGCCCTCAGAGCCCACGGCGGAGGCCCCGCTGGCGGACTCTCCGCCCATGGAGCTGGCGAAGGAGCTCTCGCGGTCCAGCCATCCGCGCAGGGCAGCCGCGTTCCCCCGTCCCACCGTGCCGCCCACCGGCAGCGCCGTCGTGCGGCTCCTCCGCCACTTCCATATCTCCCGCCGTGACCGCGGTGTCACCGCCCCGCTCGCCGCTGCCACCGACGCGGAGCCCCCCGCCGCCGGCCCTAGCCCCCCGCCCGCGCAGCCCATCTCCGCCATGGCGCGCTCCAGCTCCTCGTCCGCGGGGCTCATCGCGCCCCCTGGTGGCATATCGCGGGCAATGTCGGCGCGCGGGGTGCGCGCATAGGAGGCGTCGGACGAGGCGGAGCGAGGCACGTCGGCCTCTGCTGAAAGCTCCGCCTGCCCGCCGGCTGCCGCGCCGGACTTGCCTCGCGCGCCATCCGCACCCCCTGCGCTCAGCCTGTCGAGTCCCGCCCCCCCGCCCTGCTTCTCTCGCCCTTTCCCCGACGGCTCTCTGGCGCTGGCCCGCGGCGAGTCGTCCCCGCCGTCGCGCCTGTCCTTGCGCGACAGCCAGCTCCGCAGCTTCACGTCGGGGATCATCTCGCCGCGCCTCGCGCTGCCCCCAATCCCGCCCACTGCCGCCCGTCGCCCAGCTCGCCCGCCTTGCGCCCCGCCAGCGACTGAACCTGCTGCTCAGCTCCGATCCCCGCGCGCCTGGCTAGACTTCCGCCGCTGATGCAGTGCGCGCTGCGGCGTGTGCAAGAAGGCCACGGCAGGGAGCGAGCAGAAGCCCTAGAAGGCTCGTCTACCTCGCGCGCTCTCCGCTCGACTCACCGCCAGCAGCTCCTGCCACCGACCCTCACCTCCGGCGCGACTGCCTCCGTGGCACGGGCGCCATAGCGGGGTGCGGCCAGGCCACTCCTCTAACAGCCGCGCGTGCCGCCATACCCAAAGCGGCTGCGACGCTAAGCGCGGAGCACGTGGGGTGTAACTTGCGAGGCGCCTCGCGGCCCAGGCAGCGCATCGCCATGGACGTGTGATGGAACAGCTGCTGCCGCCTCACGTCACTGTTTAGATTTGAATGAAGGGCTGGAGCTCCGTCCGTACGTTTGCGGAGATGGTTGACATGACAATGAGGTGGAGGTAGGCAGTGGAGAGGGGAAGAGGTGAGGTGCGCGTTTCGTGTTCGGAGCAAGTGAGCGCGATGCAACAGTAAGGCGTTGGGCTGGAGGGGGTTTGTGGGACAACGATCAAACAACCCATCCGTGTACCCCCACCGGAGCAGGCTGACTGAGCTGGCGTCGCACGCAAGGCGGTGAAGCCTTCCCCCATGGAGTACAGTACAAAAACCAAACCAAACGCCGAACTGCTGCTTCCGAGCCTGATTCCTCAACAGAGAGCTCAAACCAATGATCAGTGGGGCGTAGAGGACAGTGGTCTACTGTACTGACGGAAAACTTCCTGTCCCTAGAAAACAGAAGCCGACAGGACACGGACCTGGGAACCATGCACAGGTCATATGCCTTGTAGGCGACTTCCTTTTACGCCCAGGAGTACCCCATGGGCATTTTATCCTTAGGGGTCTCTCTTTGTACGCAAAGTGTACCCGTCTCAACTGAACAGTGAGTTCGATAGTCAATTCGGCTGATATTTGGCAGTCCAATCAGTTAGTTTTTGTGTTTCCAGGGCGACCTCTCCTACTGGTTGGCGAGCCTTTAAACATCCAGACGTGTCAGGCTCGCCAACCAATGTCGAGACCAAAATCCAAATGATGCTATTGATACGACCACCTCGGTGACGGACTAGTAGAACAACGCCAGCAACGCCAACAGAATCCGTCTGCGTAGCCCTGGGCAATTCCGTCATCCGTCTGCCAACAGGAAATCGCCAAGTAAGCAACATAGGGGTCCCAACATCGTTCCCCCCGCCAACAATGCAGACACCACGGGGTTATTTGTATGGCCCAATCTTCGACCTTTTCACGACACAAAGAACGAGCCCGTCAGACCCACGAGGTCGTCCGCATGGCACATGTACGCCGAAGTGCGCTGTCCGTCGGGCAAAAGCTTGCAATCTGCCAGTACGCGAAGAAGAACCCAACTTTACGTCTCGAAGACATTGGGCGATGGTGCCACACCAGATACGGCCTGTGGCCCGATCGCAGCACAGTCGGCCGAGTTCTCCAGAGAGAAGTGAAGTGGCGGGCCATCGGGCACGAACGCGCCAAGTTCAAAAGGTTGCGAAACCCACACTGGCCTTTACTCGAAGCTCGACTTAAGAGCTGGCTGAAAAGCACAAACGGTGCTGGCTTGCCAGTGTCGACCGCTCTAATCCAGCAGCGCGCGATTCTGCTAGCACCCAAGTGCAACGTCCCAAGCGACTTCAAAGCTTCTGTTGGATGGGTTCATAAAGCATTGTGTCGAATGGGATTCAAGTGGCGTAAGATGAGCGGCGAGGCGAAGTCTGCCGACGAGGGCGCCGCGCTGACCGCGCAACTGCATTTCCCGAGGCTGTGCGGCCAGCTTGGCCTCACCCCAGAGAACCTCTTCAACTTCGACGAGACCTGCGTGTACTACAGTCTCCTACCCAACCACACTTTCTGCATCGATCCTACCCCGGGGAAGAAGGTTTGCAAGGATCGACTTACAGTCGAGCTGCTGGTACACGTCGACGGCTCGAAGCTGTTGAAGCCGCTAATCATTCACAAATTTGAACGTCCCCATTGTTTCGCAAAACAGAAGTTTGACCCTTCGAAGCAGTACTGCTACTGGCGCGCGAACACCTCGGGATGGATGACTGCAGAGGTGTGTGCGTCGTGTTTAATGTTTACCTTGTAATGTGCCGTGTTCTGTCCGATGCGAAATGAGTCGCGCGAAAGTAAATTTATATAACTTTCAAGAAATTCATCCCATATGCCCCGCGCAGGTCTTTACGGCGTTTTTCGAACATATCAACGCGTGCTGCCTGGCGGAAGGAAGACGCATCGTCGTCATGCTGGATAACGCATCGAGTCACCTGCTCCAGACCCCACTCGCCACGTCAGCTGACATCTGCGGCTTCCGGATACGGGCGCTGTCGCACGTGCGCCTCGTTTACTTGCCGCCGAACACGACACCGTTCACGCAGCCTCTGGATCAGGGCCTCATCGCAGCTCTGAAGGCACGTTACAAAGTCGAGTTGCTTCAAGCTGTTCTCGCACAGTGGCAGATACCTGGCGTGACCGTCGCCGCCGTTTAGAAGTGGAAGCCGGAAATGTGGCAGGTGGTTACCTGGGTGTCGGAAGCGTGCCTTGGGCTGGATACCGCGACCATCCAGAAGTGTTTCTGGAGGACACGAATGCTGCCAGCCAGCTGGCAGCCGCTGCTACCTCTCCTCGGTGCCACATCTGAAGAGCAAGAGCCCCGGCTAGAGGACGACATCGAGCCGGTGCAGCAGCTCATGAGCGCCCTGCCGTTCGGGCCGAGCGACATGATTTCAGCCGCTCGCTTCGTCACCGCCGAGCGTAACGACGAGACGAGCGAGCCGACCGCGGTGGATCCGCTTCAGGTCGAGCCGCTTGGCCCGGCCAAGCGGGACGCTTGGTGGGCGAATGCGCCTCCCTCCCCGGCTGCACAAGACTCAGCGCGGAACCGTCGCAATCTGTCGCGCATGGCGACAGAGATGCTGATTGGCTATGCAAAGTCTATTGGATTGGCGCCTCGCGATCTACGCGTCTTGTTTGACATCCGCGAACCTTCGGTTATTGATCGCCTGGAGCGCGCATCCCCCCGCCTGGACACGAACGCTGCGCCCGGCGCGGCGGAGGAAGGGTACCTCAGTCATGTCCGCGGAGCCACAGCCGTCATGACCGGATACCCTGACGCTGGCGAGTGGATGACTTTTGGCGCGCATGCGCGCTACCTATCGCGGATAGTAGGCGGTTAAGTTCTGTGCATTAATAGGCGGTTAAATTTAGAGTTCGGGTATGGCGCGTGCGTGTGGAGGAGCGAGAGGCATTGTGCTCTCCGTATGACGTTAGGGGCGAGACGCTTGTGCTGTGTTGCACTGAATTGGGTAGTTTTCGTCTTCGTAAGTCTGGTTTTCGGTTTGAGTCTTATTTCGCGGCATGGACTTATGTCGAGTGTTGTCTTTGTCGAGGCAAATCTGTTTGTTGCCTAATAACACAGCATGATTGTCACATGACGCATGAGTTCGGACATTCTGTTGTAACGCAGAGTTGATACACTCGCGCAAAGGCTTGCGACGCTGCGATGTTTACTCAATCGCTGCATATGCCAGACAAGTTGCCCATGCACAGTACACAAAAAACAACGCCCCATTTCCTGGGAAAACCCGATAGTCCACGTTGCCCCTACCGTACGGCCCGTATTCGTTGTAAGCGAAATCTCTCGCGTCGCCCTCCGGGCTCTCAGGGCATATGACATGCACTTCGTTTTTGGGTTGCGTAGCAACCCTATAGATTTGGTACGATATTTTGGGGCGCCAATGTAGAAAATCCCAAGTTTTCATATTTTTTTGCGAGTGAATTACCTATGCAACACTGGTCAATCTCTTTTGGGTATCAATCTAACATTATTTATATTTCCAACATTTTTTTCACCATAATAGTTTTTTCTTTATGAATGGTTTTCTCACCTTTAAAGCCCAATTTATTTCCCAATTAACTCATTTTATGGTTGAGAAATACCTCTCGGCCTCATCATCACTCTGCTGTTATAAAAGCACAAGGGGTAGTAAACCACCTTCTATATCGGCCGCCACAAACGTGTATATTGCGCACATAATCATTCCACTACCAAATTTGATGGCAGAATAGTATGATACATACAAGGTCGATACCGAGCAACGGAGGCATTTCGTAATAGTCGCCAACAACTCAAAAAAATTGTTAGGAACATTTATGTGATCTAATTTTCCATCGTTGATGGTTACGTCGGATGGAAAAAACAGGGTGACGTAATATGTTTCGAACACCAAATATTGACATACGGTAAGAATGATGAGCACAAAACACACCAAAACATGTAAGCTTGATGAACGCAATGATGGTGCATGGATCAAAGGGAATACACGAATGTTTCCATGCTGCAACAGAGATTGCCATATAAACTTTGGAAGCAATGTCAACAACGACAATCTCAAGCTGCATGTAGCACTTGGCATATATGCACCCCGCCCGGATGCACGCGCACCAAAACAGCACATGTGCACCCGACAAATTGCAATAGAGTGCGCGAACAGCGTGCCAACACACACGAGGAATCGCACAAGAGGCAGTAACGCATGCAAGAAAGAGAATACATGAATGCTTCCATGCTGCAGCAGAGATTGACATGTACACTTTGGGAGCAAAGCTGCCAAATTGACAACAACAATATCAAGTTCTATGTAGCACTTGGCACATATGCACCCCGCCCCAATGCACGCACACAAAAAACGGCACATGTGCACCCGGGAAATTGCAACAGAGTCACCAACAACGTGCCAACTCACACGAGGACACAAGGCAGTGATGCAAGCAACAAGGAGGATACACGAATGCTTCCATGCTGCAGCAGAGATTGACATGTACACTTTGGGAGCAAAGCTGCCAAATTGACAATGACAATCTCAAGCTGTGTGTAGCACTTGGCATATATGCACCCCGCCCCGATGCACGCATACCAAAACGACGCATGTGCACCCGACAAATTGCAACAGAGTGCGTCGATAGCGTGCAAACACACATGAGGAATCGCACGCAAGGCAGTGATGCAAGCAACACGGAGGATACACGAATGCTTCCATGCTGCAGCAGAGATTGACATGTACACTTTGGGAGCAAAGCTGCCAAATTGACAACGACAATCTCAAGCTGTGTGTAGCACTTGGCATATATGCACCCCGCCCCGATGCACGCACACCAACGACACATGTGCACCCAACAAATTGCAACAGAGTGTGTCGATAGCGTGCAAACACACATGAGGAATCGCACGCGAGGCAGTGATGCATGCAACAAAGAGGATACACGAATGCTTTTATGCTGCCGCAGAGATTGACATGTACACTTTGGGAGTAAAGCTGCCAAATCGACAACGACAGTCTCAAGCTGTGTGTAGCACTTGGCGTATATGCACCCCACCCCAATGCACGCACACCAAAACGGCACATGCGCATCCTACAAATTGCAACAGAGTGCGCCAACACACAAGGAATCACAAATC